GGACCACTACCCGGTGGTGGCCGAAGTTGGATCCTCGGTAAACCGATTCGAAGCTTCCCAGCGCAACTACCCTCGAGTAAACTGGGTGCAATATCAACACTGCGTCGACACAACCATGGACTACGATGTCCAACCGGGGACGTCCGAAGATGTTGACCGGTGTCTACAAACCATCGAGGAGGCGATTTCCCGGGCCAGGGAACAACGCGTGCCAGTATCCAGACAGGTGAGTAACACTCTGAACCTTGACAGCCCTACCAAAGATCTCATTAGACTCCGTAACACCATTCGTAGGCAGTACCAGCGTACTGGCCTACCTTACTTGAAGACCCATTGTAATCGATTAACAAAGATCATTCAGGTCAGGATGGTGGATCTCAGAAATAACGATTTTGCTAGTAAGATCCGCTCTCTCCCAGATTATGCAGCCCTTCTGGAAACTTACAAAAATTCTTAAAATCAAGCATAGGCCCATTCCAGCACTGACCCCACTGGATCGTCCCGACGACCCAGTGGTTCATCTGATAACTTCTGCCGCGATAGGTCAACACTTCGTCAACTCCCATAATCTCGGACAAAACATCGTCAGCCCTCATTAATCTGAGGTTGCTGAAAATGCAACCAATCTTCATCAGATTCCTAACATTTTTCCAGAGGAATCCGAGATTACGGCTGACGAACTGTTGGCCTATATCAAATCATCTAAAAACATGAAGGCCCCAGGTTTCGACAACATCCTGAATCTGGAACTCAAACACTTGAGTTCCAGATTCTACAACCATCTGGCACTAATTTTTAATCAGTGCCCCAGACTTGGCTACTTCCTCTCGTGTTGGAAGTCAGCTAAAGTCATACCCATCCGGAAACCTGGGAAGGATCCGTCCTCTCCTTCAAGTTATCGACCTTCTTCGAGCCTTCTCTCAGGGTTATCAAAACTGTTCGAAAGAGCAGTATACCACCGGCTCCCAACATCTGCCGATGAAAACAACTTGTTACTCGAGGAACAGTTTGGTTTTCGGAAAGGTCGTTCGACCGTCCACCAGCTGACTCGAGTAACAAACATTCTCAGACGGAACAAGTCTGTTTCGAAAACATCTGCCATGGCGTTCCGAGTCCCTCTGAATGGCATCTCATCGGATGCTTTCAACATCGGTGCCGGGGTTCCACAAGGAAGCATTCTTGGCCCCATCCTATTCAACCTGTTCACCTCCGATATGCCGGCTCTCCTTGATGGTGGATCGTTGTCTCTGTTCGCAGATGACACATCCATCGTCTACAAGGGTAGGATCATCGGAGCTCTGACTGCCAAACTTCAGAGAGGCCTGGACGTCCTGTCTGAATATTTCAACAGCTGCACGATCCGTATCAACGCGGCAAAGACCCAGGTCATTATCTTTCCACACTCCAAGTCTTCCAGACTTGTTCCGTCGGAGAATAACAAGATCTGCCTGAACGCCACAGTGGTGGAATGGTCCAAATAGGTCGTGTACCTCGGGATTACACTAGACAGCAAGCTTCTTTTCAGGGAGCACGTTGACAAAACGAAAACCAAGTGCAACATCTTGATAAGATCGTTGTATCCACTTATCAACAGGAAGTCAACCCTGTCCCTGAAAAATAAGCTTGCTGTCTACAAACAAATCATCCTTCCTGTAATCGAATACGGTATGCCAATCTGGGGGAGTTGCGCAACATGCCATCACCTTAAACTCAAAAGGATCCAGAACAAGAACAGTCCCTCACGAACTAGAAATTCTGAGATCCACCTCCAGGCTGGAATTCAAACATTAGAAGAACGGAGAGTTTTCATCCTGGAAAGGTTCAGATACACTTGTCTGAGATCAAGTCACCAGGTCATGCGTGATCTAGCACGTTAGGTTAAGTTATGTTTGTAGTTAGGTAGGTTATCACTTTTTTTCCAATTCTAACAAAACACACCCCTTAAGGGGTATGCTGTAAACTAGTTGCAAAACAAAAATATTAAATTAGGATAACAAATTAAACAAAGATGAAGAGCCGGGTAGGTAATCAATTAAAATGTAAAATCAATGTTCAATCATAAACAAACAGAAATAAACATAATTTTAGTAGTAGTCAATCAGAATCCGATCAAGGTCTTTGTTAACCAGTTATATTATCTGTTTACAGATGCAGTATTTCTTCGTTTTTTTTCAACCTAGTTAATGTACATTGGATTCATAACAAAAATTACGCTTATTGAATGTAATTTCATGCAAACAATTAGAATATTTTATGTTAAGGTTGAGACACGATAGCGTAGATTAGTAAAACTACTATTTTGTCTGTGGTATTGGAATATTGCTCACTGGGCTTTTAGTAAGTCAACTTATGATTACATCAAGAAATAGTCCATTGATGGATATTAACGTATATTAAACGGATTTTTTTTTTTTTAAACCATGAAAACAATCATGGTAGTAAAATAGAACCAAACAATTACTTTCGCTTATTAACAGTGCTTATTGCTGCTTGAAAAAAAGTAGTTGCTGGTAACTTTAAAAATTCAGCTAGCTGGGAGATTCAGCCTGGGACCTCCTTAGATTTTTAATTGGACGTAGTTGAGAAACATAGAGAGAGTTAAAACCTTGGGTATTACAGGTATCGATAAGCGCTCCATTTCATTTGTCATCCTTCTTGCAAAATTCATGCGAATAGAATGACCGGGGAAATTGTTGCAAAATTGTGCTGCTTTTCTCTGGACTTCAAAATGTATGCATCTAACTCTAAATTCTTGCAGTCGTATTTTTTCTCCTACGAAACGAAATGAAATCAAGTTGATATCTGAAGGAAGGCATCCAGTCGTAGGTTTGGAAATTGCAGCTATTGTTACCTCTACCACGGTATGTGCTCCTGTCATCGTCGACTTGACGTTCTCGAGGGACACGGGTAGGATAGGTGCTGCTACTGTACCTTTCGACCAATGACAGTAATTGATGGTATGCTCCCATCCAGAGTTATGTACTTTGACTATATGGGAGCATACCATCAATTACTGTCATTGGTCGAAAGGTACAGTAGCAGCATAGAGGTAACTCTAAGACTAGAAGGTCCCGAAGAAACGTGCTCAACTTTTTGACTCAGCTCTGGTACTCTCTTTGGTCCCAAGTTAATCGATTCACCCCTCGAAACATATGAAAATCCACTAACCCCTCATTTTATCTGTCAAACTTTTTTATCGAATCAAAACAAACATTGTGTAGTACTAGAATTTGGACTAGAATGGGTTACGTTAATGGATTTGCTTGGGACCAATAGGCTACTCAAGAAATGAGCCTATTTTAAATCGTTAGTTTCCAACTGGTGGTAGCAGCATGTACCCTACCCGTGTCCCTCGAGATCGTCAAGTCGACGATGACAGGAGCACATACCGTGGTAGAGCAAACAAAAGCTGCAATTTCCAAACCTACGACTGGATGCCTTCCTTCAGATAACAACTTGAGTGCGGTAAAAATCTATAGAACTGTTTCAAACACATCGTCGGTACATGAGCGAGTCGGCGATCATCTCTTTTTGCCAGTGCTGGCGTGTGGAATATCCCTCACCATCCCTCACCAACGGAGAAGGAGTTTGATAAAGAGAGTCAAACCGATTTGTACCTTCCTAAAGTTGTCCTTGCTCGCTTTCTACTCTCTATATGCAATTTTCACACTGCCGTACTCTAACGAAACTATCAATTCTATACTTTCATCTCCTCATCTATCGTATAAAAATTACCACTTTAGCCTGTTATTTGAAATTAGCATCTTCAACTATGTAAATCGTTGACTTCACGTAGTAGTAATATTAAAAATATAGTCGAAGTTAAGATTATGCGCCAATTTAAAAAAAATGCTATATTGTACGTATATTGTTGTAGTAAAATTTAGATTCAACATTTAACAATCTACATTTAACATTTTACATTATTTCAGTGCCAACATTTCATTAGGGCGAAACTGCTCTTTTTTTCCTTGATTTGTTTTCCGTACTGAGTACCAATGCTACCAAAGCCAAGGAGACTGTTTCCACACCTGGACCCAACCTATCGACCCATCAACTCATGGACCGGAGACCAACGGTTTTACTTCCCTTTCGAAGGAAGCCGTGATCCGAGAATAACCTAAGCCAGAGGCAATCATGCTTACAACTACACCACCGGCGCCGCTATCGAAACTGCTCTTGTAAACAATGACTTCAACCACCGATTAATCGAAAAATAAAAGCTCATTCCTGCACGATTACGATGCCAGCTCGCAGAAAAAACATTTATTTTCTTGATGACGTCGTTAATTTGCATATGTGAGCTTTTATTCCCGATAAATTAGTCATCAATTAGCCAATGTTTACAATAGAAATTACACTCTTTTATCTTATCACCAGATAATAATATTTCCCAATTCCCGGGAATTTCTGGAAAGTTCCATCAGCCGTTTTCCTATTGACGGGTAGTAAAAAATGAAAACACTAGCCAGGACTTCAAGATATAGCATATTCAGGAAGCTAACTGTTCACCACTGTTTTCATACAAGCGTTTAAACGAAAAACGCTTCGATTCGACTTCCCCAATGAGGCCCCTAATTTTGTCATCAAACGACTCTCATTTTCCTAGCCTACCCGGCCAATCGATACGGCTCGTAAAACTGTTTGTTTTGATAATAATACATAATAATTATCTAATCAGCTTTGTGCTGCAGTATTTTTTCCATCACAACCAATGCATATAATTTATACACAAAAAAAACAGTGCACCCTCAAAGTCCGTGCCCATTGACCAAACATTACTAATCGCCCGCCTTTCAGTTCATCATCCACAGTTTTTTTTTATTTGGTTTTATTGCACTGCATTTTTGGTTTCGTAATCACACTACTCTCGAGTCACTTCCGATTTCTCCTCCCACTACTGGAATCACTTCATCCGGGAACCCCCCCACCGGCTGTTGAATAACTTTTCAAAAACTATACACTAATCAAAACATCCGGAATGCCCGGTAGGTACTTACCCATCCTTGTCGAACGCAGTGAAGCAGGCATCCATGGCCAGTGAAGGATTCGTCATAAAGTCCTCGTTGGCAAAATCCGACGGCTGATGAAAGAGAACGGATGATAACACAGCAGTCGATTGTCGTTCACCAGATTACCGGAAAGAAACCAAACGTAAAAAAAGACAGTGAAATAGACTGCGTTCGCATCACATAAGGACTATTGAATCAACGTTTCGCGGTCAGATGAAACGAAATTTTTCATCGGATGGGTAGATTTTCGTTCGTTTCGGATTAGTCGTCGTCGGTGGGTAAAATTATACCGGACACACCAGAGCAGATAGAAAGCGGAGGAAAAGAAAACCGAAATCCCTCACCGAGACACCGATACACCGCGACCGACTTGTACTCGTAGCCCCGTGAATGCAAAATGGCACTTGAATTGTGTTGTGGACGTGGACCTGTGGGCATGGAATAGAGTTGTCCCCGACAGGCGAGGGAACCGCGCTCGATCGACACCGGCGCGGGTTTATCGAACTAACACCGGAGACCCCATGGCAACCGGTTAAACAGGGATGTTCGAACTGTGGCGGCCGGTCTGCTGTATGTATATCTGTCGGTTCGTACAGAGAGGGCACCGCCGAGCACGTGTGAGGATGGAGTTCCGGTTGGTTTTGGTGCGGATTTGTGCATTTTTTGAGGATAGAGATTTGCGGTTCAATCCAGTTGAGCTGGAATTGTGGTTTATCGACAACTTTGAGTTCGTAGATCATTGCAGCTTTTGGATGACAATGAAGTTCCGAATGGTTCTACACGTGGTGTTGTGTGAATGATAAATGATAGGAGAATGCAAGCAAAATTTTAGCGACGTTAGTAGGCATGTCAGGATAATCGATCTATTCCGTTTAATTTACGATCAATCTTTCAGTTTTTGGTGTTGAAAATGTGTGGGTGTGTTTATTTCTTGGTTTTTACCTATACGTTTGGTTCGAAAAAGATACGTTATTCTGTCGGTAAAGGCGCAGCAAGCCAATTCTCGACTTCCCTGGGCATAGAGATAGACTATGTTTGAACTTGCCACTCAATAATATGTACACATTGCAGTTTATTTTTATACCTGTGATCTTGACTTTTATACCTAGGGGATGAGTACTTAAGTGGGTTAGATTTTGAAAAGTTCTTTAGTGGGAATGACACTGATGAAGACTGCACATTAGACTGATGCAAAATTTGACTTTTTCGCTCCACAATACTTAAACGATTCCAAATCGGATCTTGACTAACCTCTCAAAATTTGAACCCATTTGGTGAGAAACTGAGATGGCACAAACCATTTGAAGTTTGTATGGAAATTACTATGGTAAAACCAAGATTTTTGTTCATGTCTATCTAATAATTCACCATATCGGTCTGCTTCCAAAGCTGTCAATTGTACTTGTAGGAAATTTTCCCAGCTACAACTTTGCTCAAGACCACTTTTTGATTAAATGCAAGGATCGAAAGTTATCAATGGTCCAATGCACTGATGTCTTATGATCATGCTCAATCAACTGCTCAGCAGGCAACATTGGTGTTTCTGGGGCGTTGAATAGTACACAAAAATCATGGCTACTATGTCACACTGCAAAATACAGTGTTGCCTACAGAGCAGCTGCTTGATCATGTCACAAGTTTACCAATCTCTTAAATAATTAATAACTTTTTCCTGTCTCGTTTTACATAGAAACGATCTTTAGCAAAGTTGTAGCTGAGAAAATTTTCTTTAAGAATGGCTATCGAACCGTTTTGCAGCTCAATATGGAAAAAGACTAGAAGGCAATGAACAAAAAGTTGAGATTTCCCATAGTAATTTACATGGAAACTTCAAATGGCTTGTGCGAAGTCTGTTGTAACTTTGGGAGGCTAATCAGGACCCGATTTTAAACCATTTAAGCACTGTGGAGCGAAAAAGTCAAATTTTGCATCAGTCTACTGCACATTGTAGTCGAAATACGTATCTGTCATGCACGGGAAAAAATCCGATCTCCGAAATTAGAAAAATGACTCATGATTTCATGAACACAACCTTATTTCATGTTATGAAAATACACCATGAATAATATTCATGATGTCATGAGCAACTTTTGCGTAACGCGGCAAACATTCCCAAAATCATGAATCATCCGAGTTGAAATCATGAGCTAAATTCATGGGTTTAACTTTTAACCAAAAAATGCAAAAAGAACAAAATAAAGCATCAGACTGGATTCGAACCAAGAACCTTGAGATCATTAAACCCATACGTTGACAACTAGACTATCAGTACTTGTGTAAGTTGGAAGACAAAAGGCGTATAAGACATACCTATGTAGTGCGGTTTATGAACACGGTTTGCCAAGTACGTGTAACGCTTGTAGCGGTCTTGATTCCACTGCATTATGAATTCATGAATTTCCATGATGAAATCATGAATCATTGTTACGATTTCATGGGATGGTAAGTTTTTTTATTTCATGATTTTTTATTCATGAAAATGGAATCGGATTTGTTCCAAAATTAATTAAGTGGAATCAAATGGAAGATAACCTTTTTAGCTGTTTTCTTTAAGCACTAGTTGGTTCGTGGACGCCGTGGCGCCCGTTGTAGTTGGTTTTGTGAAGATTTGAGAGTTAAATTTCTTATTTCCAACGGATTATAACAATTTTGCAAATTTTTGATTGTACTATTTTGCAAACAAAAGACGCTAATTATTTTTTTTTTATGTCGATTAATATCAAATACTGATACACACACATAAACATGTCACTAAATAATCGTTCCATAAACTTGCTGAAAATCTCCATAAACTACGTTGCCTTCAGATTAATTGTCCTATTCATGTTTTTATGAAATATAGGAGCATAGTGATGATCAAACCAATAGAATTTTATTTTGAAGACTTTTGTTAGAAGCATCAAGAGGAAGCTTGCCCGTCGCTACGCTCCTCTAACTAAAAAAACATGGGCAGGACAATAAATCTGAGGGCTACGCGTTAATTGAGCGTTTCTCATTTATGGAGCAATTATTCGCTTTAAACGCTGCAAAAACCTTTTTCCAAAGGCATTGCATCGATGTTTAGGGAAATCTAATTAATTAAAGATGGAAAAAAACTTGTACTTTTCATCAGCACCAGAACTTTTGAAATTTGTCAATAAATATATGTGTTATGATTTTTCAAAAGTTCGGCCTCTTATCACAAAACCTGCTCATCTTTACATTTTTCATTCACGAAGTATTTTTTTTTCTGTCACGCAACATTTTCAGGCCTAAAATTCTAAGGCCAGAAATCACGATTTAAAAATTCTAATTAAAAAAAAAACAAAAGACACGAAAAAAAAGCGTTTCTATGGCCAAAAATTACGATTGGGTCTGCCAGAGTGTTGTAGTCCATACAAAATTTTATACTTCCAATACAAAATTTGTTTCGAAGGGGGCTGGGGGGAGGATAAAAAATAACCAATTTAAGAGTTACGTAATTTGCGAATGAAACCTATGGTACTTCGCATCAAATACACAAAACGTTCCTACGGCCAGGAAAAGAAATTTTTAAGAATTTTACTCCAAAGTAGGCTTTAAACGTTCCTACACTGATTTGATCTGTCGCATGATGGGTTTGAATTCAATTCATATTCTGACCACTTCCCCGTCGAACCCGGATCATGTCCGGGTATGGCCAATGTGATCCTGGGCACTTAATAGGGCTACCATTGAGCTACGGCCAGAAAAAAAGAGTTTAAATATTTTGACTCCAAAAATGCTTTAAATTTTCCTAAAAAAAATTAAAAATAAAAAAAATTTAAAATGAAAAAATAAAAAAAAAATATTAAAATAAAAAAAATAAAAAAAATAAAAATATTAAAAAAAGTTATAAGTAAAACCAATATTAAAAATAAAAAAAATAAAAAATAAAAAATTAAAAGAATATTTAAAATAAAAAAAAATATTGAATATAAAAAATATTTAAAATAAAAAAATAAAAAAAAAATTATTTATTTAAAAAAATTAAAAATAAAAAAAAATATTAAAATATAAAAATATTTTTATTTTTTTTCCTTTGGTTTGTTTTTTCCGTCGATCTTGTTTTCCGTGCTGAGCACCAATGCTACCGACGTGCTAGGAAGGCAGCTCCCACACCTAGACCCTACCCATCGACCCATACGACCCTATCGACCCATCAACTCATGAACCGGAGACCAAAGTAAATATAAAAATATTAAAAATAAAAAAATATAAAACAAATAAATATTTCAAAAATAAAAACTAATTTACGGTCTGTTATCTGTGATCTTTGGCCTAACTTCTGCGTCTGTATCAATTGTCTAGGTGCATTACGGAGGGACGCTGGGCTTTTATATATATTAATTCCGCTAGCAACCCAATTTCATTACTTCACTTAGAAAGCTCTCAATTAACAACTCTGGATCAGTGATGGAAAAGTTCGCAAAAAATCACTATGACTCGCGAACTTTTCCCTTGGAGAACTTCGTGAAATATCGCGAACTTTTCCAACACTGCTCTGGATCAACAATAGAAAAGGGCCCATCAGCAAACCGTTCCAAAGCCCTTTACTCACAAAGCGAAGGCCACCCACGCAAACCAACACACAGTGGTTCCAAGGGTATCAAAACACGCGCTTTTTTATTTACGCTGAAATGGTTGATTAAAGGTACTAGGTGCCTTCTGAGAAGTTTCTTGGGTTACAACACTCCTTCTTATGGTAACAGAAAATTAAAGATTAATCCACTTAAAAGTGAGATGCTAAATTTATTTTTTTAACATATTAAGATACAAAATAATTGTGTTCGGCAAAGCTGTAGGAAACATTACTGTGAACAACTTTGCTGAAGACTATAAGTTTCTAGCTCTTAGAACTGCTGAGATATAAAGGTTTTATTGTGGAGACATCGTTAAAATCAGTTTTGTATCTGTAACTTTTTCTACATTATTTCTACATGTCTGGTATCTTCTACAAATATGTTAGAAATATTAAATTACATAACTTTTCACAAGACTGCAAATTGCTACCATCAATATTTGAAAAGTTATTTACATTTTTTGGTTGAAAATTACCCAACTTCCAATAACA